TGGAGGGACACGAGACCCACTTTTGAGCCCCCTCTTTGCTTGCCCTACAAAGCAGGCAGCTCTGAAGGCAGGGACAGAGCAGCTGGGCAATCCTGCCTGGCCGATGCCTCCCCAGGGCTGATGCCTCCCTGGGGGTCCCTGGGGAGGCCAACACCTCCCCGGTCGGGCTGTTCCTCCCCGTAAAAGCAAGGAAAAAACCACCTCGAGAGGGGTCAGAGCTGCTTTCGTGGCCTCTCCCACCCTGCAGAGGCACTTCCCCTCGCAGGACTGATCCAGCCCCTGCTCTTTCCTAGTTTCCCAGCTGCTTTAATACACCGTGCATGGAGCAGCCGGCAGCCCCGTGCCCCCCGCCCGGCCCAGGGGGGACCTTGGGATCTTGTTGGACACAAAACTCCTTCCCGGCCCTGAAACAGCAAGCGCAAGGGCTGGGCGCAAAGCGAGGATGGGCTGCAACGGGACGAGCGTGAGCAAGGCGGTAGTGCCGGGCAGACACAGGGCAGCATGTCCCTGCCTGCAGCGCTGCCACCGCTTGGACCCGCCGGAGCTGGTGGAAACTATGTTCGAAGCTCCTGCCCGCAGCCCGGGGACGTGCCCTTCAGGCACTCCTCGGATGGTGGCCAGAGGGCACACGACAGGGCAGCGGGGGCCGGGACGGCTGCCCGAGCCGTGAGCTGCATGGGATGGGGCGGGTGAGGTCCACCACGCCATGGGGTACGCCGAGCCGTGGGGCACCCAACCCATGGGGCACCCAGGATGTGTGGGGTCCAGGGCTGTGGGGCACCCGAGTTGCACAGGGAGCCGAGTCGTGGGGAGACCCTGGCTGCGGGGCACCCAAGCCATGCGGGGACCCAAGCTATTGGGGCACCTGAGCGGTGGCGACACCCCAGCTGTGGGGAGACCTGAGCTCCGGGGGACCCCGAGCCATGGGGGCAGCCAAGCCTTGTGGGGACCTGGGCTGTGGGGGCACCTGAGCTATGGGGAGAGCCGAGCCACGGGGGCACCCAAGCCCTGGGCTTCAGGGTCACAACCCATGGGACCTCTGAGCCATGGGGAGACCCGAGCTGCAGAGGCACCCGAAGGGCAGCACCGGGCTCTCGAGGAGCTGGGTGGGGGGCGCAGGGCAGGATGGGGCCGGGCAGCCGGTGCCGCTGCCTGTCCCAGCGCAACCCCGCACCGTGGCTGCGCCCAGCCGGCTGCCACACTAACCTTGGCACCAGCCGGGCTTTCGGGGCTGAGTCAACAGCGGCAGCTGTGCAAATTGCAGCCCTGGCAAGCGGAGGCGTGTTTGCCGGATCAGCCCCTCCAAAAACCCTTGCCGGGCCCTCTGGTTCAAAGCACCAATACTTGCCCCACCTCTTTGATTCCCTCCAGCACCGGAGCCAGCGAGCCGCGCTTGGAAGCAGAGGCGGTCCCGGAGCAGGATGCGGCCCTGGGCAGGGCTCCCTGTGCTGGCCCTGGGTCAGGGAGGGCAGGGTCACCGTGATGGTGCCCACGGCAGGGTTACCGGGGGACAGCCGAGGCCGTGACCCAGCCGGTGGCCGGAGCAGGATCCAGCCTGTGCTGAGCTAGCCTGACAAAGTCGGGCGGGATGCTGCCATATGGGCATCCCGACGGTGGCACCCGCAGCCTGTCCCTGAGCCCCGCGGGGCTCTGGGGCGAGCACGAGGACGCCCAGCATTGTCCCCTCTGAGGGACAAAGGCCCCCGGAGCCGAGAAACCCCAGAGAAGGAGGGTAATGGCGGGTCTTGCTCTCTCCCCGCAGTCTGTGGTCACGCTGGATGGAGGCAAACTCGTCCACGTTCAGAAGTGGGAGGGGAAGGAGACATCGCTGGTCCGGGAGCTGAAGGATGGGAAATTAATTCTGGTAAGGAAATAGAAATGGTTTTAAATCGGGAGGGTTCAGCCCGGGACAGGACAAGCCGGGAGCTGCACCAGCTCAGCACGACTAACCTCCCCGCCGCCATTTCTGCCACCAGACTCTCACCATGGGCAACGTCGTCTCCACCCGCACCTACGAGAAGGCGACATAGACGACGTCCCCAGCTCCCCCGCCCGTCACCCGGTGCCGCATTCGCCCCCCGCATCGCCTCCATCCTCGCCCCGTGCCGGGCACGGCTCGCCGTGGCCTCAGAGCCCGCTGCACCTGCTGGGGCTGCCTGCTGCCCCCGTCCCCATCGCCTCGTGGGGCTGCTTGGGGCTTGGGTGGTGGTTTCGTGGTTTGTTTGGTTTTTTTTTTATTAATAATGGGAAAACCCACGTGGAAAAATAATAAAGGCCATGTTGTTACAGCTCTGTGATCAGTTTACTTGGAAAAAGGCTTTTTTGGCACGTGCTCACCCGTAACGCTGGGTCTCGGCCAGGCTGTGGGAGGAGCGCGGGGGGGTGAACCCAGCCCTGGCACCCTGGCAGCGAGGGCGTTAAACCATCAGCGATCCCAGTAGCCCATCTCAGCTGGTTCTCTGAGCTGTGGAAATAAGAGAGGTCGTTACGGTTAGAAATGTGCTTTTCCGGGGGGGAGTATTAGTTTACTCCCACTGCAGCTCCGCCGTCAATCGTCTGGGACCCAGGCACGCTCCATCCCAGCTGGAGCGATCTTTCCGCCACCAGTGCAGGTGGGCGCTCTCTGCCAAGGCATCAGCTGATGGTGCACGCCCAGCAGCAGCCGAGCCAGGAATCAAGGTCACAAGCACTTCGGGTCTGGGTTTGGGAAGGGAACCGGCCCAAAAGGGGGCACTCGGCTGTGGGGAACTGGGGCGAGAAGCACTGGAAAGGGCAAAGCACAGGGAGAAGGGGCAGGCTGCCTTCAGCAACCCAGAGTCCTCCTCCTGCTATGCCAACGGGCAATCGCCAGCCCCACTCTCGCTTCCCCAGAGAGCCAGAGGCACCAGGAGTGACTCAGCTCCCCCCGTTCGGCACATCTGCCCCAGCAGGGACAAGCTGCCCCCAGCAGACTTCCTCCGTGGTCACCACAGCCTGGAGCAACCCCGGACCCGGCGCAGGACAGCCCGGCCCTCTGCCATCCCTTCCCCCCCGACGTTCAGCTCCGGTTACAAGATTTATGCTCCAGTTGCTTGTTACCAGAAGGCACCAGGCTTCTCATAGGGGTCACCTCATCACACACCCCCTTCCCACCCCAGGGAACCTCTGAAAGCAGCCAGGACTTTCAAAAAACCCTTTAACGCAGGTCACAGCCCCTCCCACAACAGCTAGCCCTATTTTTTCACTGCCCAAGATGAAGCGTGGAGCATATAAAAGAAAAGACCTGGTACAAAATACAAAGGGAGATTGGAGAGATTTATTTTCCGTCACCTACCAAGGCGGCAAACACACCACAGTTAATGTTTATTTTAAATATCTCCACTCCCCCATTTGCTTCTTCCTCTTCCACTCCCAATGTTTGCAGACAAAATGAGCGAGGCTGGGGGAGGGTTTGCGGACCAAAGCCAAGCGGCTCTGCACCGTTACCGGCTGGGAGGACATAGCCCCATCGCAGGGCCCAGTAACAACCAGCCCCGTCCCCGAGCGCGGCGCAGGGACGAGCAGGGCGAGCGCAGCTGCGTGGCTCCACCTTTTACAGGCAACTGGATGGGGGTTGATGTCATGCAGGCTGGGTGCAGCTGGCCGCACTGTCCAGGGGAGCCACCGAGCACTGGCAGCTTACCCAGCGAAACATGAGGCTACAGGACGGGAGAGGTGCCGACGAAGGGGTGTAATTAGCCAGTTTTGGCAGGAGTGCCTACTGGTGGGAGAACATGGTAGCCCACGCCTAAGAGGACAAGTTGTATCAAAGTCAACACCTTTAACACCACATGCCGAGCGTTACTTTTAGGAGAAGGAAACTCCTCGTCCCTGGAGCAAGGGGTGCGCCGATTCAGTTCTGCTCGCTCCTCGTGGTGTGCACCAGGGACTCACAATGCCGGTACCCCTGCCTGCCTGCTCGCTCAATCCCGGGGCTTCTTCTTATGCTTCTTTTTCTTCTTCTTCTTCTGAGCCTTGCTGGGCTTCCCCGAATGCCTGGTCCTCTTGCTGGCCAGCTGAGCCCCATCGCTGTCCGAGTCCGAGCTGTCCGAGTCCGACGTGGAGGACTGCTTATTCTTGTGCTTCTTCTTCTTCTTCTTCTCCTAGCAAATGAAGGAAAATAAATAAAAAGCCTTGCACGTGGGAAAATTGTCACGTGGGCTCACCAGGGCAGCGAGACACTTTCTGTAATGAGTGCCTTACAAGCTGTGACAGGGGCGAGCCTGCTCCGACACGGAAGGCACACACAGCTTCTGCCCCAGTGAGTCAGGATTTAACCACCACTGTCAGTCCAGAGCTGCACCGGGCAGGGTTCGGCAGCCATCAGAGCAGAGGGGCATGAAAATGTAAATCCAAGCCTGAAAACTGTTAGTCAAATCACGAGAGTCCTTGCCATGCCTCCGCAGTCAGAGCTTACTCCGTTATTTAAGGCTATTCTTTACTAATAGAGGTTGGCAGGATGAAGCCTTTCTGCCAACGAAAGGGGTTTCTAAAATAGCCAGCTGGACGCGAGCACCATCCCTGCCTCCCCACGCCATCATCAGCCCACAGACTGCCAGGAAATGAGCGCCGATGCGCTGGAGCACTAATGACGGCACACCCTTCTCCTTGCGGGAAAGCCCAAGCCCAAGAAATGCCCGCCAGAGTTTCTTGCAGCTGCCCCTCGAGGGCAGCCGGGATGAGGAAAGCGCCCCTTTTGCAAGCAGCAACTCTTTGCACAATCTCAGAACAGATTGCACACCCTCCTGCTCTCGCAGCTTCCCTCCCTCTGCCCCCGCACACAGGCAGAGTCCAGGGGCAGCACTGAGCCCCCCGGGCTGTGTTTCTGCGAAGCCCTGAAGCAACAGCTACACAGAGCTCAAGAGCCATCATTGAGATGCAGAGTAAGAACAGCTGGTGCTGGCATAAAGCTCATAAGGAACTTTGAAAGGATCTAAACCCTCAATTCTGAGGCATCTGACAGTAACTACCAAGCAGAGATGACTCCCAGATCAGTGCCGTGGTACACTTTTCCCTAGAATCGCATTGGGCAGAGCGTCCCAAAGCAGATAAAGACTATTCAACGCTGCAGTACAGCAATTTGTGTATATTTAATGAGAAAGCAGTACTGGGGGAGAGATCTGATCTGCCTGTGCTGGCAGCACGCGCAGCCCAGCTGCTAGCCCCGCTCTGCCCGTTGCTTCACCCCCTTCCAGCAAGGAGCGGGAAGAGAAATGCTGACCACAGCTCTCAGGAGCCGGCCGTGCCCCCCGAGCACCAGGGCAGCCTAACGGCTCGGTAAATCACCGCCCTCCGACCGGAGCGGGCCAGCGCTGGAGGCAGGCTGGGCAGCCAGCACCAACCCGAGCGGTCCCGGTGCCAGGAACGCAAGTGGCTCAGAAGGCGTCAGCCGGCGCGGTCGGCTTTTGTGCACAAATAAACAAACATCCAAAGCTGATCCCAGCACAACCCACCTTTCTAATCCTCTGAATACCCGCAAAACCATCGCGTAGACCAACTCTTGGAACAAGACAGAAGATATTTTTTCAGGTATATTTTAGGAAGATGCTTTGAAAAAGAAACGACTGTCCTGCAAAAATCAGGTATTTTCACTTATGCCCCTTGGTTCTGGGAAGTAAAGGAAAGCAGCATGCAGGTGAGAGGGCCCATAAAAAAGTAATTTTAATATTTTTCACACGATTAATATAAAGCACTTCAAGATTGCTAAGATCAGTAAGGGTTCCAGCTTTCCGTCCAAGCCCAGCAACACCGGCCTCCAAGGAGGATCCACTGATCTCATCCATGGTCACATCAACATCAAAGAGGGACCTTCCTGTGAAAACGGCGATTGTGAATTTTCATTCTATTCAAGGACATAAAGAGGACATCAGGAAAGAAGCAAAAGAGGGTTCCATGAAGCGGAGATGGGCCAGCAAGGCAACCCAAGCCCATGGGATCGCCTGCCATAGGCTTAGACAACACTGGTGAGGAATGCAACCCAGCAAGCAAAGCTTGCTGCTTTGACTAAGCCATATACCAGCATTTTTGCTTAAAGCGAGCTGCACCTTCTCAAGTGATCCATGTGCGCTCACTGCTCTGGAACTGGTGCACCCGTAAGACCGGGCACAATCTTCCCCAAACTTGCTGCAATCCAGCATCCTCTTCTCTTCCACAATTTAACTACGCAGCCAGGTGCCAGCGATACACGTACTGCTGCTAGCCGCACTAGATGAGGTTTTATCCCCTAGTCAGAGCCCAGCTCCTTTCCCCCTGCACATACTTTACCTTTACTGGATGCCTCTCCTGTAGACTGGTGTCACCCTGGGTTTGTACAAACATGCCCCGCAGTTGAGATAGCACAGCGGCATTGCAGCTGGGGTCAAAGTGAGCTCTTGAAGCAGAGCGTGAGCAAGGAACCATGGCCGTGGCGCTGCCTCCCATGCTGACCACCACCTCTGGAGGGCCGAGCTCTCCGTCAGCAGCGGTAATGAGTCTCCCGAGCCTGCGCCAACGGGTGGAAGAAGCCCAGGGCATTCACTTCAAGGCATCACTAGACCAGGAAAAGGAGTCTTGGTAAGCCAGACAAAAAGCCATGTTTTCCCCCCATCCTCTAATTTAAAGAGGTTGAATGACGGCTTGTTCAGAGCGTGGCTGTGCGCAGGCCTTGGGGAGCAGCACAATGGGAGATGGACAGCGGTCAAATGACAGTCCCAAACATAACACACAAACGTGTTTTACATTCCACTACGGAAGGGAGTGTAATGGGAGAAGCCTGGAGCCCCCAAGCCAACAGCTCCACTTATTTTCTTTGCCAAGAGTGTCCCCAACGACCTCAAGGCCACCCTTGGGCTTGCAGAGAGTTTTACTGGGAGAGGTTTGCTCTAAGTCACCCCTGCCTTGGCAGGGCCGTTAGTGCTTCACGAGGAAGCAGAAGGCAGCAGCAAGCCCAAGGGCACGGTTACGCCAGTCGCGGGACTACAGGCAGGACGAGTCCTCAGGGAGGCCGCCCTCCTTGGCCAGCTGCTGCAGACATCCACAGCCACCCTAGAAGCTAAGCCAAGGGAGAGAAAATGAACGGATGATTAGATGAAGGGAACAGCGGCAATCAGCCGCAGATACACAGGATACCTGTACAAAATGAGAATGACTGGTGTGGGCAAGTATTTCCACCTGCTCCAACACAACCAAGCGCAGCACAGGGCTGGCCGTGGCGACTGAAGGTCTGAACCCAGCACTGACACCGGTTTTGTGGGTCCAGCGTGAGATACTCGGGTGCCTGCAGGTGCTGCCTT